AACAATATCACTGGCAGTTTTTAATACAAATTAATGCTTTCAGCGACGCGAAAAACCTGCGAGTTTTGCTTTTTATCAACTTACCATGGGCTCGAAAGCTTATTTGAACCACAAAGTATCTTTGGACGTATCAGAATCGAAATGTTAACCGAAGAATCGGGAGCGGTAAAAATAACAAAATCAAATATTAAAATGGGTAAAATATATTTATACAACATAGTCCAGTATAGTGTTTGGTCAATTATAACGGACGAAATAAAATGAAGAGAACATTAAAATAAACTTTAGAATCAACACAATAATGTTCGCAAAATTCGGCCATCGCCCATAGTTTGAAAATATGGATTTCCACAAAAGTCGATGAAAGTGCCGGGAACGAAATGTTCAAACATCAAAATTTCATTGTCACCTTCCTTTAAAAACGGAGCGGGTAAAAATGCCGATTGTTGCGGCCCGATTTTGAAATACCTAGATAAAACAAATCCATTGACTATAACGACACCCTTGTTCCATCCTTTGAAATCTATGTAGGTGTCTTGTGGTTCCGAATCAATGGTCAACACCGCTCGATATAACCGAGGACCGTTGAGAAAAGTAGGAGTTTTCCAATCAGTTAAAGTCTGATTCCACTTCTTTTTAAATTCTAGTGGAATTATTTTCCAATCAGATACGATTCGGTCGTTAATTAGGACATTGCCCTGCCAAAGCCCCTTGTGTTGATTAAACTGGTACAATTTCCCATAATTTACTCTGCCAAAGTTTTCAACTACCAAATCTAACGTAGCTGACTGGTAGTTTTCTGAGCCCAAGTTTAGCAATGAGTCTTTTGCTCTCCAGTAGCCAAATCCGTTGAGATCTTCTTCACTGTTAAACACATTCGACACCAACTTGCCATTAATCAGGACTATCACAGTGTCACAAACATGGCCTTCAATTTTCAATGTGGATCCAGCTTGAATATCAATATTCTCCTTTCTGTATACGATATACCCGTAGCTCTGTCCGCTGTTGTTATTGATATCAAGCTTTTCCATAGGCAATAATTTCTCACTCTGAATAACATGTTGGGCCTGCTTTATTAAGTCATCTAGACTGAGTTCGCCGATGATGTCTATTTCCGGATAGATTTCTCTAAATGTGGGCTCAGGAGGAGCCGGTTGACTAATGCAAAGTTCATTGTACTCAGCAGTTAATTGCTGAAGTTGTACGTATTTATCAGTATAATCGCCGTTTTCTGCTAGAGGTGCATGGTAATCATAACTGGAAGTATCTGGCTGGAACCCTACAATGATACAAGAAAATTCATAAGTCAATTCAAAGAAAATTCAGTAATTCCAGCTGACCAATTATTCATCTCAAATTAACTGCCCACCTGAGTTATTGTCGGTGGCACCACAAATATTAGCACCATTTAGAAAGCCCCAGTTGGTACCTCCATGCATCATGTATAAATTGAATGAAGCATGCCCCATCAGAATATCCGACAAATTTGCATAGAATTGTTCCACAGTTTGAATATGGTGTTTTTCTGAATAGTGATCAAACCAGCCAGTCCAATATTCCATTACCATTAAAGGTTTGGTCGGCTGATAAGATTCAAGTCGAGCTAGTTCCAGGCCACAGTCCTTGTCACAATTTGCTGTAGCCAAAACACCTGGCAGAGCACCTACATAAAATAACCTAATCGTCATTAGTCTAATTCACATATTTCCGTTAAACTAAGCGTACCGTGGAACCCTTGAGTTGGAGTATCCGACGTAAACAATAATTCAACAATTGCATTTTTCTTTATTATATCTTTCAAAGCTTCCAAATAAGCGATATCTATCGGTTTGTCATCTTCCTTCACATTTCCATACTCATTTTCGATTTGCACGGCAATAATTGAGCCACCTTTAGTAAATTGTAACGGTTCCACTAATGCAAGTAATTGCTTAAAATATCTTTCAACGTAGAAAAGAAATTTTGAGTCCGACGTTCTCACTTTCAAGTCTTCATGGCGCAACAACCAGCTAGGAAGTCTAAAATTAAACCAATAGCTCTAGATTAATAAGCACTTGAACCTAATTGTATTTAAGTTGATATTAATGCTGAGCTTTTTAACTGGGTCGGATTTACAACTATTCAGAGCTTTATTCTAAAGGTCCATCACAATTTTCTGTTCTGTGAGACGTTATTTATATAAAAATAGTAAAATCACGTGTCCAAATTTTGCAAAACTGCAATGTAATAAGAAATAAATCTCAAAAATATGAGTATAACACAGAACTAATAATCAAGGGGAAATTGAAAAACCACACAATTCTGGTTAGATATAAGTTTCAAGAAGCTCATATCAAACGCAACATTTCAGTATCCATAAAACTGCAGAAATAGAAAAGTAATTTCGTCCACTTAATTTAATGTCGTTACCTGGTGAAAAATATAAATGTGAAACAAATAAATAATTATTTACACACAGAATAAATTGTCAAAAATTCTATATGTAAATCAGATGGTACACAGATATGACACAATTTACTAATGTAAATTGCTTGACTAATAACTCTACAAATTATTGTATAATAGAAGAAAACGAATGGTTTTTTAATACCCAAACGTGATTTGGGTTATTTTTTTTAAATACTACACACTTGGTAGGATCAATCGAAGACCAAGGAATAGAAAACCAAAAGAATTATGCAAGATCTTTCTATAATACGAGATTCGAGAATACAAGATTTTGCACAGTAACTTATTACTGTTATGAAAATAATTGGTAGCTTTTTACATTTTTTTGTTTTATATTTTTCATCATATCTCCTAACGTGAACACAATTGCTCAATCAGTAAAACACAAAAATTTGCCTTGAGTTTTTAATCTAAAAAAATGGGCACAAAGTAATTTTCACCATATGTTTGATTTTGTACTGAACTGGAAGTTTAATTAATTATGCATTATTGACCTAAAATTTGAACAACAAAATTAACCAATTCAAAAAAAAAATTAACACTTTGCAAAACCCGAAAATAATTCAACTAAAAATAAAATTTACGGTCAAAAGGAACGTTCAGTAACGTTGACATATTACCAAAGTTTATATTCTATAGAAACCATAGAAAAAAAGACTGACATAGAAATAAATAAATGAATTGTAAAATAAATAGGAAAACTGGAAAATTTACTTGTATTTCATAGTGGAAAAAATGGTCTCCTGAAGGCCTTAGCCCCTCGGAAATACTAATATAGAGATCTTGTGACAACACAGGCTTGTCGCATCCTAATCTTAAACGATTTTTCATATAGGTACTTTAATAAAATGTAATCAATATGCCTTGATAATAAAAAAAAACTTTTATATGAAGTTTTTGCTTATAAGGAACCATATAATTTTTAAGGAATATTTTAATTTTAATTTTTTTTTTTTTTTAATTTTCACAATTTTAATACATATAATTTTTTGAAAATTATTGCTATATTATATAGCTATCATAATTCATCATTATCAGTTAATTACACACTTCAATATAAAAAATACCGATTCTTTGAAATAGCTATTATTGGAGCAATAAGAAATGGTAATCTTAATGAGAATTAATGGAAAAAACACAGGCTCATGTTTTTCATCATTTTTTTAAAGACTCTGTGCGTTACTGTTTTGCTTGAAACCAAAATGTAGTCAATATACAGGGTGTCCAATGCATGCGGATCTCCAAAACTGTAGGAAAGAGAAACGAAGTCGGTTAAATTAGGAAAAAGCTACGCAACCAGGGGACATTTACACTGCGTTTTGAAAAAACAAGAACAAATTTCTTTCAACTTTTCAGATATTTAGAAAAACGCTATTTCTTTATTCATTTTTCAAGTCTACAAGATAGTGTCTATAAAAATGTATTCCAACGTTTCGTTTCATAGAAACCATCATCAACTTTTGCTGTATTCGAAACCGCATCTTTTTGTGCAAATATGCTTTTTTAAATTATTAATTTACCAACCAAACAAAATATCGTTCGAATAAAAGTTAGAATAGGTACTTTAAACGTAACCAAAAAATCTGCTGCTCCACTTTTTTTAGACTCAGTCTAGTTGCAATCAATGGATAATTATAATTTTATTAATAAATAATGAAATTATACATTTCAAAACATTTTGTTAAACTTATTCATGACTGTATCATGATTAATTATGATATAATTAATTCATCACAATAAGAGGTTGTGTATAACCAATAAAGTAATACAACATACAAGGTGTCCCAGAATATGCGGGCAATCTCCGGGGTTGATTTTCAGGATTTAAGTACTTTTAGCACATAAATATTAGAAGAATCTCGCATATAGTTCGAAACTCTTATTTTAGAAAAGTGTGACCTCGTAACGACGCGATTGAAAATTACGGTTAATATCCAACTCTTATTAGTTTTTTGCCTGAAAACCGTCCATTTGTGCTCCAATAGAAAAGAACTTTTGCGGATAACAGCTTTTTTACTTGCGTCAAACTAATATGTGTGCTTATCATACAAGCTGAAAAAACATCTAAACATTTGCATGTTCGAAATCGGTCCGTCCCTGTAAACTAAACAAGTCAGAAGATAATCGAGTTATAGGATCTACAGTTTTAGAATCCCTTAACAGAGTCGATAAATGAAAATTAATAAGTATTAGTTACATATACGTAAATGTTAAAAAAAAAACAAGAATAAGTGTAAAAAAAGGATGATTTTATTTTTCGCGTATTGTGCGAGACCCTGCACAGGTGTATGCCGATCATGTGAATGAAAGCAAGAAAGCGAGTAGACGATAAGAACAAGAAAATATGAACAGAGTGATAAGATTGTGGTTTTCACCTGAAAAGTGAATATGTGTTCAAATATGTGCAAATCCACCCAGTTAAACTTCTCAAACAGATAATGACAATATTTTAAATACCCTCCAAATTCCCATTCGGCACAAATATATGGTCCTGGTCTCAAAATGACGAATAAATCTTCTTCTTGGGCGATTTTAAGAAATTGCACCAAGTCGAGAAACAAACTGAAATCGTTTCTATCGGGGTCTTCTCCAAAATCGAAACTGCCATCTTCAGGCTCGTGAATGTTCCAGGGCACGTACGTTTCCACACAGTTCAAACCGGCAGCGCGATATTTTTTGAGCCTATCGCGCCAATAGAGCGGATGTGCTCTAAAATAATGTAGGGCGCCACTGAAGATTTTAAGCGGTTTAGAATTCAATTTAAAATCACTCTGCGCGTCACTTAAGCCACTTTCAATGCCTTGGGAGGTGAAATGTTCGTATAAAGTGGGCAAAATACCAGTGATATCGACGCCCATTTTATAAATACACAACACAATCAGCTGACTTGAATGTTCTACGTTTCTCGTTGCTAGTTTCGACCTTATCAGCTCCGGTCATGTGAAGAGAAAGCCTGTAAAACGAGGTACGCAGGCCATTCAGCAACGCTTGCGGACTAGTGTCACCAGTCTTTTAAATTTGCTTCTTATATTTTAAAAAAATTAACTAAGCAAAGCAATTTAAGAATAACTGCAACGATAATAGAGAGCAACCAACTATGAAAACATTAGGTTTAAAAATAGCTAGCCACATATAATAATATACTTAAGATATATGACACTGACCCATTCTTCGCGCTTACTTAAGTAAAGTTATAACCGTGATATGCTAAGCATTAAGAATTATCTTAGCCGGAAATTATTGAATTTTAGACATTAAGAACAAAGCAAACTACTGCACATTAGTATACCTAATAATAATAAAAGCTTTACACAAATCGATCGAGAAATGAAGTAAAAAGGAAAACGGGGAAATTACTGACCTTGTCACGTTTTGTTTTCTCAACAAACTGTATTCTTATGATATTCGCGAAAAATCGCTGAAACCTTGAGGGAGAGTTCCGATAACAACTATTGACGATATTTTTTGAAATCTCCACTGGCCTGTGCCTTCTTTTTCGACCACTATGATTTAGGTATAATAAATTTCAGTGAAACATTTTTTAATTCGTATTTGAATGCAGTTTTTCATTGGGAGATTCAAAGTAAACTATAGGGTGTTGTATGAATATACCGGCAAGGTTTTTGAGTTGAAAACATGCATTAAAACAATCATTTTTGCTTCATAAACGTATGCTTACGGTGGTTAAAATGTAGGTACAGGGTGGGCACACTTCGATGTCTTAAATCGGAATCTCGATAACAATTGGAGGTAAGGAAAATTGAACCCTTCATTCTTGACTTATGTTTTTGTAATTAACTCAAGGCAAAAATCTGAATTGTTTGCGTAAAATCATTTTTTGTTTGCGATTTTTCCCACCAGAAGATGGCTGACTAAGTAAAATAAGAAATAAATGGATTAAACAAGCATAAGTTTGGTTCATGACTCAAAAATTAATGATGCTGTTTAAACATATTTAGATCATGTTATTCAACTAAAAACGACGTCTGTAGAACTCGAACTCGAAGAAAAAAATTTATGTCAAGCAAAGCTATCGAAAGTGAGGGATTAATTTAATTTCCTTTATTTATCGAGATTTCTATTCAAAATATCAAAATTTGCTCATCCTGTACAAGGTAATAGTTTTTTATGTCAGGTCTTGATTATTTAATGTATGCAATCTTGCACAAAAACGATGAGAGAACGAGTATAGTTACACTTAAAAACTAAAATAAAATTTTAAATTTCCCTACTGTCTAGAAACGACTCGAAGAAAAGTTTGTCGAAATACGTATAGTATAGCAACTATATGCAGACCGCTTCGTACTTAAATACTCCTAAAAATTTGGATTTGTTACTATCTGGTAAACTTTTGAAGGTATTGGGATTAAAAAATAGATAGATTCAGTAAAAATAATACGCCACTCAATTTTCTTAAGAGAAAATAGTGTTTTCATGTTAATTTTTTACAGTTTTACATCCTTCTTTGTGTAATAACAAACAAGATTTCATTGACTTTTAACTAAATCTGTTTTACCAAAGCTTTGGTCTAGTCAAGTACCTTTTCGCAATAATCTATAAATCGAACACTAAGCGTTTTTTTAATAATTTATCATAAGAAAATATGTTTGCTTTTATTTTCAGTGAAACCTGATGCAGGAAATGTATTGATTTCCCGAACACTACTCATAAAGGATCTTAAAACTTAGGAGTCTCTAATTAAAATTGAGCGCGACAGCAAGACGAGTGTCAAGAACTTGCTGGCTTCTACAGAAAACACTCAGACACTTTCATACATTTTTAAGTATCCGTCCTTAAACTATGACTAATAAGCAGAAAATGTATAAATAATCTAATATTAATCAAACGCCTACTGCCCCAACATCATGAGCCTTATCAATATCCTTTTAGAATGCGTTTGTATGTAAACGTTGTTTAACTTATATTATTATATTACCAGTTTATTATATACCAGTTATCAACCTGCGGACTACTGTTATAAAAATGGACAATAAATCAATTGAATAAACCATTGAAATAATGAAAACGCTGAAACTAACATCGTTTCAGACATTAACCCTAACGAATTGAACGTTGCAAGCTCAAAAAATGGGAAATTCAAAGGTGCCAAACGAGGAGCAATATCAGCATTTCCGTTCTCAAATTGCTCGATAAAGATAATGTTTGCTGACTAAGTACAATTGATATCTAAACAATTAAAATCTCACTCAAAACTCAACCAATCGCAACCTCAAAAAATTTATCAGATCAAAGTAAAAAACTTGCATACAGCATGTGTAGAAAATAAATAAAGAATATCTTATATCAATCGTGATTTGTAAATTTTATTAGACGAAACAGTACCCCAAAGTAGCTTAGAGGAGCCCTATTTATAATAGTCTCGATCTGCCACAGCATTCGCAAGTTAGGCGAAAACCTGAGATCGCAGTTCTAAATATATTTACCAATTTTGTGGAAAAATGCAAAAATGTATTTGCGATATGCATTTTTGAGCGATTTTGCAGACAGACAACTATTACATAACATATAACAAGAATTACTAATAATATATTCAGAATTACAAATAAAAATTGCTTTGCGAGTTATTAATTATTCTAATAAATTATTCCGCTGGAAAATTTTGAGAATTTCACTTCATTTTTCAACGAATTTGCAAAAGTGTTCTTCATAATATGGAACTAAATAACGAATACTTTTGGCGGTAAATAAAATAATGAAGAAAAAATATATAAAAGCGCTAATTAGTTCTAAGAGATGAAGAAAGAATTGTATCAAATGTTAATGCAGTGCAACGAAAACGAAACTTTAAATAAAAAAATTATCAAAAACTCACCGGGTATGTCTGTAGATTTTCTTGGTAATTCTTACCTGAAACAAACAACAATATTAGTACTAAATTATAAGATTATAATAGAATTCTTAATTAATCCTATATATTGATTGTTGATACTTTTGAAAGCCTCAACAAATGTCTTTATATTATTCTTTGTCAAATATGGCAAATCTTATTTCTGGCTTTTGCCACAATTAAACAACCCGAATATTTGTGACAGAACAGTCATTTTATAAACAGTAACAACAATTTTTTTTAAGTAAATCTTAGGACCCAGCATAAAATGGCTGAGAAAAAGGCACAAAATCAGGTAAGTACCTACTTAGTCAATCAATTATTATTAATAAAATGCAGCTTATATATCAATGTTATCAATTTATTGAACAATCGTTTTTTTTTTCTTTCCAATATAGACCATGCCCAGAGCACTTCCTAAGGAAAATTCAATTCCAATTCGAGCTCCCAACATATCGAGCTCAACCAGTGTCAAGTTGCGAAAATCATCCAACATATTTTCGACTCTAGTCCGAAAAGCTCGAAGAAAGAAGACTGGAAACAAGAATAGTCAGGATGGAGTAAAAAACTTGCTTATGTCCTCTCAAAATGAAAGCGGCTCCAGTACTCTATCAGCACATATTGAAGAAGAGGTGGAAATGAATTGCCAAAATTTCGAAAAAAAATGCAGCCAAAATCAAGAAATATTCTGGGAAGGTCGCGCCATATGCAGTGAAACCAACACTTCAAATGTACGATTTATTGAGCTCACTGGAATCGTGCGTTAATAATATCTTTCCAGCACTCTGGCTCATCTAACAGAACGCAGAGAAATATTATTAATTTACGAACCACACAGTCGTACAGCGGATTTAAAGCTGCCAACTTCCAGAAAGTGCAAAATGAAAGCAAACAAATCAGTGAGGAAAAGCCAACTGAAGACGATTATTTTATAGAAACTTCGCCGGAAGACACAGTTATAACTTCATATCAGTTAAAAGCGCAACGTAGATGAACTGCCGGTATTGAATATTAATCTAATTTGCAGAAGCTTTGTAAAAACCCCTCTTGACATCACACATGCTGAAGCTCTGCAGTATCTGCAAGAGGTAATCAACAGTTTTCATGAAAGCGAAAACCATATCATGCAATTGCTTGCGAAATACATATCGGATCCGATTACTCAACAGGAAATGAGTAAGTCTTCTTTGAAAATGATGTTCCATAAGCAGGTGAACATTTTTTAGAAACTGCAATTTGCAATCATTCAAAATTGCAATGGGAAGCCGAGAGAAGGTCAGCTTCTCTTGCAAACGACATATGGATTCAACAACTGGAAATCGGGAGAGCTCAAGAAAATATTATTCAGGGAACACTCCAGTCGCTGGTGAATCAAAACAGGCAACTGCAAATCGAAAATGAGAGTATCTACAGAAAATATGAGAAAAGCAAAAAATGTTCCGATCAGAAAAACCGATTCCAAGGTAACAATCAGATACCAACATTCAGAGAAAAACAGTCTCGGGTTCTTCGTTCGAAATTTTACCTTCAGAATGTGATTCACAAGTGGACGCAGTTTTACGGCACAATGAAAAATTGGAAGCAAAACTGAAGTCCTCGTTTAAAAAAATTGAGAGTTTGGAAGGTGAACTGATCACTATACAGAAACAAAATAGTTCTATGGAAGACCAGTTAAGAGAGTCGGCAGGAAAAATACGAAATATGAAAGGTACTGCTTCAGAAAATGTAAAACTCACTTTTCTAAGTAAGATATTTCGTAGCTTTGCTTCATGGAATGAAAACCGACCACAACATAGAGCAAGTGGCACTTAATTTCAAACTGGAAACTCAAGAGCGATTATTACAGGCAGCTTTTGATCTGGGAAGTTTAGCTTTAGATGATATTGACCATTTAAAGGCGCAAATAGACAATTTTCCTTTTGATTTCAAGTGGCCGCAACTAACGGTAACACATTTCCAGAATCTTTTAGCCCAATTAACTGACCTGAATCAATACTTAAAGGTGAGAAATGACTCTTTAACAGATTTAATTCATCTTTGCCGATCATGCATTCATGAGCTTTCTAACGAACTGTTCAACCTGTATAGCGAAGCAGCCTTGAAAGACAAAGACATGTAAGGAAGGATTTATCATCAACCAAAAATCCACCATTAATGTTTTATTTACAAATTAGCAACTGAATAACAATGGAATAAAATTGTTTGCAATTTCAGTGCAACTCTGCGTGAAACTAATGCAAACTTACAGCAAACCACAAAAATCTATTTAGCAGAACTAGAAACAATGGCAAAAGAAGTCGAAGAAAGCAAGTCACTGAAAAATGAAAAATATCTACTTGAACAAAAGTCTCATATGTTAGAGAGTTCGCTTAAATTATCCACCGAGAAAGTTGACCAATTTCAAACTGAGTATGAAGCTGAAAAGACACAACTATTAAAATCCCTAAAGGATCAAGAAAAATACATAGAAGAGGTAACAATGATACTTCAAATAAGACCCAAAGAAAGTAAGTATAATTTTCCTTAGTTGGAAGCTAAAGATAAAATGATTGAAGAAACGAAGGTATTTTTATCAAATATAACGACGGAAAACGTGTCTCTTCAAAATGAAATTGCAACACTGAACAGAATTATTAAAGAATCAGGAGCTGGTGATGTTGTAAAAGAAATTGAGCATAAGCATGAGGAAATTCAGTATTTTAAGATGGAATTGGAAAGAGTAAGAAAAAATCAAATAAAATCAATATGCACTACGCCCTAGTAGTTTCAAAAGTTAATACAACCGTTCCCATGATTAAATAACTATTTCAGGTTCGAAATGAAAATATTCAGCTAAAATCTCATTCAGACACTACACAGCATGCAAATGCTGTTCTAGCGAGCAATCAAGAATTAGCCCAAAAAGCTCTTCAAAGACAAATCAATGACTTGGAGAAACTAAATGAAGACAACCAGAATTTAAAACAAACACTAGAAAATAAACATCAAACTGTGATATGTAATTAAAATTTATATTAAAAGCAGTCGACAGTAAGATGGTTATTCAACTTTACAGCTCTGAAGAATGAAAGAGTGAAATATCTCGAAGAAAAGGGTGTGTTAAAGTCCATCATTCAACGCCTGAAAAATGAATTATCAAAAATAAACCAATTAGAAGACAATCTCACCACAGTTTCCAGGGAAGCTAGCAAAATTAGCGTGAGTAAACGACATGAAGTCTTAAAAATGCGCTGCTCATTATATTTTGCAGCTTATCGCGAACTACAATAAGCAACAAAGTAACAAATTCAAGCAGGAAATCATTGAAAGGGACAACATAATCATTCAAATGCAGACTAGCTTGCAAAAACTTCATGAAATTCAGCTGGAAAACTCTAAGGAAAAACTAACACTTTGCCATCAACTGAATGAAGCCTCCCAACTAAAACAAAGACTAAGTAATGTGTTGGAGTCTGAAGTAAAAAAGAATGCCGAATTGGGCCAGTCCAAGGAAGCTATTGTTAAATCTGTTAGTTCTCAAGTTAGGAATCGCCAAGAAACCCGCGAAGAGTCTCATATACTTCAATTTTGAATATGTTTCAGTTCCAGCGAATTGAGGACAAGCACCGCAATGAAAGAACAGCAATCAGAATTCTTTTACGCGACATAAAAACGGTCACACAAGACAAAGAAACTGCAATCCAACAACAGCAACAACTTCAAGTAGACGTAAACATGAATATCAATTTATAAAACAAAAAATTGACAGTACATTTTGTTAATTAGGTCCAACAATTAAAAGCCAAGTTATCTGAACAAGAAGAAGCTTTCCAGATCGCATCCAAAGAATTGTCTATTAAAAACGGTGAAATCAAAGAGCTAAGGAGTGAAATGGATCGCTATGAAAAGCTACACAAAGACTCTAACGAGAAATTTGAAAATGAGGCATCAAAGTACGAACTGAATGTAAAGCAGTTAAAGAAACTGATAGAGCAGGTAGGAAATATCGAAGTAGTTCTGAAAAACCACTTTGCCAATAAATCGTACGTAAATTCTCAGCTAAGGAGTGATAAGAAGGATTTGGAAAAAAGTATCGAATATTTGAAAAACAACGTGGAAAAACTTTATAAGGATTTAAACGAATCAAGACAATCTGAAAAGGTAGAACAGCGAAATGTCAAAGTGTGTTAACAAAATAATTCAAATAATGTAATTTAAATTTATAGACGACACTGGACGCTTTGCGTAAAGCCAGAGAGGAAGACGAACATACGAAAGAGCTTCTGAATGGAAAAATATTAGAGTCAACAAAAATAATTCTTGAAAAAGACAAACTTTCTGAAGAAAAATCCAAATTACTCAATGAAAATGACACTTTAACTAAAGAAACTGAATATCTGAATGCGATGATGGACAACGTTGTGAACGGTAACAATAAAAAAATCCCAGAAATAACAACTGAAATGAAAACATTTGCACCACATGTGCTAAATATTTTTTAATGTTTCATATAGATTTTGAAAAAAGCCTTAGAACAGCCGAGGACAAAGAAAAACTGTTCAAGGAGGAATTGAAGGAATCTCAACAGATCATACATCACCACAGCATAGAAATTGTGGAGTTGAAACAAGCATGTTTCGTAAATATGGAACCATTTGATAATTTAGCAAGTATTTAATTTTAGAGTGTGGAGCTAAAGACGGAAAGAATTGAAGAACTTGAAGACCTTCTCAAAATGGAGCACATTCAAGAAAACCGATTCAATAGATTGAAAGAGGAGATGGAGCAACTGGAGAAGTAAGCCAGATAAAGGCGAATATTTTCGTGTGGATATTCATAAATATTTAAGGGACTCTGAAGAGCTGAGGGAAGTTAAAACGAATCTGGAAAAGCAATTGTTTGAGTTGCAAGATGATCACAGTCAAATGAAGAATCACATAACTAGCTTAGAAAATGAATCAGATGTCTTAGAGTCCCAGCTAAAAATAGTGCTGGATCAAAAGGAAGAGGATTACGTATTTTACAAGAAACATATTGCGGAAATATCAAAGTATTGTTTACTTGTTATATGCATTATAAATGTTGTTTTGAAATCAATCAAGATAATTAACTTTTTCAGAATTAATAGCAATAGCTAATCGTATAAAATTTGTAGGACTCGGGACGAACTTGAAGAACAAAGCAAAAAAGAAATATCGATGTTGCGTATGGAGTTGCAAGATCTAAACAACCGACTTGTGAATGAAAAAACTGCATATGAGACGCTTTCACAAATCCACAAAGATATTTCGGGAAAATTTATGAGAAGCATTAAAGACCTGGTTGAGGCAAAGAATTCCAAGTGTGATATGCAGGATAAGATGCACAAAAACCAAAAATATCTAGACAATGTTGAAAATGATCAGGTACCTACGTAATTAACGCAGCAGTTAACTAATAGTAGATTTCTAAGAGTATGTATGGTATTGCCCACTGGAGTATTTTGCCTTTAAATCCAAAATAATTATTTCTTTGTTAAATAAGTACCTTCTGTGTAGAATTTTTAAACTGATTGTCAATGAACCTTTCAGAAGCAATTTCTGAAACAAATTAAAGACCTCACAGAAAAACTTGAATTCTCCCAGACACACACTAAAAAAATCGAGGATGAAAAACGTATTCTAGAAAGCAATTATAACATGACAATTGAACAGTGTCGAAGGCTGGAAGAACAGGTAAGAGAAGTTCTCATATTTTTCCCGATATTATTTAAGAATTACGGTTTTTTAGGTAAATGACATTAAAAAGGACCACCAAACAGAGCATATTCAGTACAATTCGGACAAACATAAAGAGGACAACACCTCACAGGTATTTAATAATTTGCAGTGTACTGAAAGGAAATAGCGCAAAAGAAAATGTGGATTTTCTATAGAGATGTAATACAAATTTATAGGAGGAAATGGAAGAAATGAAATCCGAAATTGAAAGAAAAATTGCCACTATTCATCGGCTTAAAATGGAAGTTTTAGAGCTACAAAAAGAAATCACGCTCTTGCAGCTGCAAAAGTAATTACTTATTTTTTTTAGTTTTAGCTTAAAATGCTAAAGTCAAGTACTAAAAGTATATTCATTGCTCATGACCTACTGTCAGTCTTTTTAATAGCTAAAAATTATTTGGAATCATCGTTTTCTGACTGTTTAGAATTCTTTCATTGAGCAGTATTCAGTTTTATTAATATTTGAAGTCGATGTTTTCTTGTTTCATGTCTATGCTATAATTTCAGTTATTTCATGTTTTTACTTTCTGTTCCAATGAACATTCCTAACGTAAGCATATTTCTGAATTTGTTAGTGTAAGAGTTTTTTGCGAATTATGTAGGACATAAAAAGGATGATCAAAATAGTGCTCATTTTCTGAGGGGATTTAAGATTAATTTTCAAGTTCATGCAACACTTTCTAATGCATATTGCTACCCAATAAATATTCAGTATAAAATAAAACAAAAGCGCTTCAAAATGTGTTAAAAAAATAATAAACACTGCAAAATGCTTTTTTAAACTTCGATAATGTCTGAACAATATGTGTAATACTGCAGAAATAGTAACATGAAAAAAAAAAAGTTGCTGCTTTTCAACTTTGCCAAAAGTCAACAACTTTGAAAACGGTGCGGATATCGACTTCGAACAAGTACAGATGTGTTTAAAAAATATCGTAGAATGTGATTGTACCAACCCGTATGACGATTTTTGAAAAGGTAAAAAGTCCTGATGTCTTAAATGGCTCCAGACTATTGCAGCTTGCGCCCTCTAGAAACTACAAGCCAACCAATAGGAAATTTGGATTTGCCGATCTAAGAAACCCCAAAACAGAAATTTTTGTGGTACTAGTAAGACTGGTTAAAAATCTATTACGAAAAACGAAATTTTTATTTACACTTTGACACCCTGTACCTCGGAATCTATTAACTTATCTCGCATAAGACAAATTTGCCTGAAACGCAATATTTTGGGCTAAACAATATGTCAGTGAATTTTTCGACATTAGTTGAGGACCACCCTGTATACTTAACATTTAAAAAAACTAATCGCCTTGTACATTTAGTACTATACCTACTTTTCAGTTACCTATTCATTTTTTTTCAGGTCCGAAATAATGTTGCAACTTCACGAAACCGAAATAAGATTGGAGACTGAAAAAAACTTGGGTGATCAGTTAAAAAATACACAAAAACTTCTTTTGGTTGCGGTCTTGCAACTAAAAGATGAGGGCAAAATAGATTCATCAGATTGCATTCACCTGTTGCATATGGTCAGCAGCTCTAGCCCCATAAATTTAGATATGAAAACTGAAAATTAATCATGTAAGTTGACGAATTTAAGCATCGAGCTCATTTGGAAAGTATGGGAAAACTATTCAATAACGTTATGATAATAATTGTATGTATTGTTAATGGGCACTGACTACGTAATACCGCTAGTATTATCGCCGGGACTACCTTCCATGTCTATAAATCTTTTTTTAAATTTTGAAATACAAATGTACCTACATTACAGTTAATTAGACAACCCGATTAAGTTTAAAGTTGTAGCAGTAGTTTTTGAGTTGATCCGATGCAAAGTTCTCTCTAAAATTTATATTTGTATGGTATTTTCGGCAATCGGTGATGATCGTTGTATGGTTGCGATTGTGTGACATAATTCACACACTGGAGGATCCCCATTTTCGATCAAATATCCATGGGTAGCTCGAGTATGTCCGATTCTTAGTCTATAGATTATGATGGCATCCTTTCTGTTCATTGGCCGCATTCTACTGGTTGGTAAGGTCGAATTTGATCCTATCCAATTAGATTGCGACTTGGCAAAGGTTGTTTCTTTAAGTAGATTTTTGAGATCTCCCTGTAGTTGTAGTTCTTGAATGGGCAACTCCAATGTTGATAATCAGAATCCMCAACTCTCCGAGTTGAGTYCGAGACTCACCARAGAGGCCATCGAAATATTTAAACACCAAAACAACTTTAACAGAAAAGAAGAAATTACGGCACTCGTTTGCAWTCGTTACRSATTCGGGAAGCKCGTTTTGCGCCAAACAGCGTGTGCGCCGAAGCATTTGAACCCCCACMCATCCCCCACGCATAAGCACACACGGCTGGGCTGCATAAATACGACGGGGAATCTAGCAGTTGAACCCACAGACTACATACCATAGAGAAAGTAAAATAATTTATTATTTTATACTCTATTTTATACTATATTATATTGTATACTTATTTTACTTACTCTATGCTACATACTATTGACCCATAGAACCACAGCATAGAACAAGGCTTGAGTTGAACCAGTCCATAGAACAAGGCTTATATCACCAGTCTTAGTCGGAAAGCACGGGAGATCACTTCGCCCACTGTCTCATCGCCTTTGATAATGACCACCGCAGTTGTAGACGAAACGTCAGGAAGAAATTCCCATAGACCACGGCTTCAAAGCCCGGAAAACATTCCTAAATATTCTATTATTGTTCTACAGGGTGTTACAAATTTGAAATTAGTACGTAGTACCTGCTCTCAGTTTTTGACATTTTTTTGAGGGCTCCTGCGGACCAAAGTTTCACATCTACAAATCTAAAAACAATATGACGTGACAATTACGTAATCTGAATTGCTGGCTGGGATTGCAACATTCGACTTATGTGTCTGTCTGGCAACTCTGGTTTTCAATGTTGTTCTCTTGTCAGTTCTAACCTCAGTTTTTATTGTTTTGAAATGTTTATTTCATTATTTACTTAGAAAAATAGTAGTCGTTGTTAGATAATTTTCCAACAGACGCTAAATACGGTGAGTTACATTATGGTTTATCCAAAGTTATCTGGGCATTTCCTTCCAATACATTTCATTTACCAAGCGTTTGAAAAAAATGTTTATACTGGTTCAACACAGACATAAATTAGATTTATTATTAGAAATGTACACAGAAGGGTGCGGATTCCAGATCGCAAACTTCAGGGAACCAAAGAGGATCGAAAAACATTATGAGTTAATTAAAAACTATATTCCAGAAATGCTTCCTTACGGAAATAAGTACACAGCGTGCTTAAGTTTGGCTTAAACGAATAAAATGTATTAACTGTCGCCAAAAGGCAATTTTAAACGAACTTTTGCAGGCAATAACTGCCAACGGAGAGCACATTTTGCAGTAAAAACTATGTTTTTTTTTCATAGAATCAAAATAACTTGAATTCTTCATTCATTTTTGAAAGGAAAAATTTTATTCAATTTCCGAGTACAACTCAACGTTTTCAATTAAAAAAACTAAACATATTTGTTAATCATTTTATGAAACTGTAACAAAAACAAATTCAATCGGTGGTGAAAAACGACATCAAAAATTAAAGAAATTGTTTGAAATGTACTTAGTCCTCCCACTTCAATAGATATTCGACATCGTCTAAAATGATTTTGAAACTTTGAACTAAATACTACAGTTGCAAATTCACCAATATTGTTTTTCGATTCTCTTTCGTTCCCTGAAATTTCCTATCTGGAAGCTGGATTCCTATCTGGAAGCACTCTGTTGATAAATCCTGACTTAAATTAGATTTCCTTCAATTCATTGAAATGAATAGTTTAGCGTCGTTAATCCAGTTAAATGTCTCAGAGTATTAAAATAGGATCTGTAAATAATTCTATTGACTGGAAAATGTGAAGGCAAACGTGTCTGGAAAATATGGTGAATGTTTATATATGTTTGGATGTTTTTGCAAATGGAAATGCATTCAACACTACTCTCTTGTTTGCAATTTGTGAACAAGTAAACTTTATTTGGAGTGTTGAATAAAGACTGACACAGAGAAAACCGCTACACACAAAAACCGTTCTAACTCTTCACAAAATCAAAAAACTGGTTCGGGTAGGAAAAGTGGATTTACAAGCCCACAAACAGTGAAGAAAGTTGTCGAGATATTGGAGTTCTTCTCCAATATCTCGACAGGGCTATCCTAGGTTATCCATTCGGAAAATGGGCAATAAAGTAGGTTGCAGTGAGATCACCGTACGTCGAATCGAAAGACACCAGACAGAAATGCAAGTAAGAACCTGGAAGCAAAAAAAACGAGCTCGAAAATCGAACACTGATTGTTTCCACAAAAAGATTGCTGTCCGATGAATGACGAAATGTACGGCCTTTCTGACTTCTCCCAGCTTCCGGGTCAAGAATTTATCGCAGCACGTAAGCGCGGCGGTTGCAATAACTTCAGAACTAAGCAAAAGTCAAAGTTTTCCTAAAAGTTTCTCGCGTGGCAAGGAAGGCTTGCGTAGCTGTGGGGAACACAGAACACAGCAAGTCTTTTGTCACGAATGGAACGATAAACACCGAAATTTACGTAAGAGGGTGTCTCCAAAAATGATTGTTGCCAATCATGATACAACATAAAGTCCCAACTTCCTTTCGGGCAGACTCGGTTTCCTGTCACTACAGTAACAGATCTGTAGAATGGTACCAATTGAGAAAAGTCGTTTTGGTGCCTAGGGAAGTCAACCCACCAAATTGTCCAGAGCTTCGCGCAATCGAACAATATTGGGCTTTGGTAAAAAGAGCTTTAAAAGAAACGGAAATCGAAGCTAAACCCGTACCGGAATTCAAAGTAAAGTGAAATTCTGCTGCCAAAAATACCAAGAAAGCGACCACAAAGTGGATGATAGAAAGGAGTCCAGAAAACAAAAAAAATCTGTCACAACAAATGATTTCAGCTTCTTTTTTTAATTACTCGTAATAAAATAATCTGTAACACGCTTTTTGTTTAATTGGAATTTTGTCAATGGTTCGTATGTTATTAAGGTTTTTGTGTGTAGCGATTTTTTCTGACTCGGTCCATAATAGATGCGAGCCAGCAACTTTTTTTATTGATTTTTATTTAAATGTTTTTATTACTACTTTTTAAATCCAGAAGTTTCATCATTTAGAAACGAACAAGAATTAAACCAAATATTTAAAAGTCGATTTAGATAAAGAGGTGGAACTTTTATTTACTTCCCTGCCCCCCACAAATATTATTATTGTAAAATTTCAATGGCACCCACTACCCAGACCCCAGACACATCATTTTAAAGGGAATAAAATTCTCTATCCAATGCTGGAGGAAAATTAAAATCGGATTGTTGGTTCAAGACTTAAAAGRCAAAATCATGTTAAGACAGAATTTGATAGACGTAATTGACGAAATTTTCGTAGTTGGAACAAATGTTTTTTTAYCTTTTAATGTTTTCTCAAGGCATTGTTTTCTTTTTGTCGTTTTTGTCATTTGCTTTTCATTATTAAATAAATTCACTTTATTTATTTTGATTTAATTTTGATTTGACTTTAATTGATTATTTATTATTAACTACAAAACTACTGTTTAAAGCTAGTACTAATTTACTAAACTTTCTTTAAAAAAGTAAAGAACAATATGTACTATAAACTGGAAACACGTGAAAACATGCTCAATGGCTCATATTAACCATTTTTCATCAGCAATCGCAAACAGTTTTCATATAATTTAGCAATTTTGCATTTGTAAATTTCATTTGTTTGTAACACAATTTRTTTACTTTTTTAAATACTCTCAACACGTATGCTTAAAAATGTTGCATCTGATCTAACCTGATTWYAATACAGTTTAACTRCTTTAAATCTACAAGATGGTTTTAACATTCAAAATATCTGGAAATTTTTARGTTTGATTGMTACAMAATWMGTATTTTTTAATTACAGTTACGATAATTTGTTGTTTTAAAYTTATAATTCTTGTGTWRAATGTTGATAAATTTAAAAGACRCCTGTAGTTTACATATRATATTCTCGATGGTAGGAGATTCCGRTTATTCTTGGTAGGAGAGTCCGAATTAGATTTTTTTTATGTTCCCAGACTGAGAACAGTTTTACGTCTATTATTACGCGATCTATTGCAAACTGATAGCGACTAGWCGCTCTTTGCATTATTATGATGATAATCGCTGAAAGATWWAAAAAAATGCTCATTTAAAAAAAAGCAAAAATATCGATAAAATCTAAAAAAAAYCTGTAAAATTAAATCATGGACCCACTGGWATGAAAATTATATTAAGTCTTTTTGTGGGTTTTTTTCCAGATGCATTTTCTGTCACCCGGCCAGATCCAGAAATACGAAMGTATCCTAGACAAAATTGAACATGAACAAGAACAATTCAAACAGTTAACTCAAGAAATTGAAAGAGTCAAAAATGAATTAATAATCCATAAACTATCCAAATTAGAACCATCTCAACAAGTTGGCTATATTAACGTTAAAGTATTCAGCGACATTGTGGAGCTTTTTCATTTGTATGATGATCAAATAAAAGAACCTGCGTCTACTTTCTTTATTCACGAAAATAGTAAGTTTTACTTAATTGAAGTATTTATTACAAATGCGCTTGTTAAAAAGCTGAAAGGTATAAACTGGACTCTTTTTATCTCAGTCAAATACGATAATGTATGTGTGAATAAAACAATTATAATAAAAGAGTGTGATACACCCATTGTTGAGCTGCTGGCTATCGACGAGAATGTTATTGACTGTGAAGTGTCAGCAAGTATTGTATTACCTTCAAAAGATAATTTAATTATTTTATTATTGAGTACTGTAATTGTGGACATTTCATATCATTTCGAAATGGTCAAAAAACCGAAAAATGTCAGCATTGAAAAAATGAATTGTGAAATCGCAAAGAGCTACAATCTTGAACTAAAACTCGAAAGCAACAAACAACGTTTACTAGAATACAAGTTTTTAACGAAAATTGATGGCAAAGAGTTTTTAAAATGGCTCATTCAAAACTGCTATCACAAGATGGATCTGGAACTCTTTTCCGAATTTGCTAATGATTCGAAAACCAATGTCGTTATAAAATTTTCAACGGGGGTTGAAAAGCACTCTGTCACTTTCAATAAAGAGACTAAAGTAGCGACTCTTAGAAGTAACGTTTCGGATTTGAAAAGGTTAAAGATTTATTTCTGGAACGACAATACTGTGGACACAGGGGATCGACCTAAAGTGATGGCAGCTTTAAAGGTAAGGGGATCGATTGCATTTTTTATAAAGCATTTGATTAAACATGCACTCATGGAAACTGGAACACTGTTCATTAACTGATCTGATTGAATACTACGAATATATTGATGTGAAGGGAATTTCTCCATTTTCCTTATCAGATCAGTAATTTTTCAATCAATTTTTTGTGCAAAACGGAATCAAAATATTTAAAAACCGTTTCCCTTTGAACGTGGTCTAAAGTCTAATTGAGATAGTCAGAAGCAAATTTGGTCACAAAGGTTTTGAAATTTTGTTTCTCATTGTAATTTCAGTTTGAAGCTAGTTTTACTATTGAATTTGATACCTACTCGTGTAATTTTATCAGCAAGCCCCGGAATAAACGGATCAAAAAAGTTTGTATTACATTTATTTTAATTTTGTTTTAACTGTGGAAACTTCAGAATTTTCAATTTCATTAAAATATTTATCACTAAAAGCATTTGTATAATTGTCGAAATTTAAAACCTCTTCTATGAACTGTTTTTTTTTATCAGATTGAGTACAAATAAATGTTGCGCAATCAAAGAAACGTTTGCCAATTTTTTTCGGGTGATTTGAGTTAAAATTTAAATATCGTTTGTATGTTTGTATTAAATATAATTTGTATGAGTCTGTTTTCTATATTCCCAACTTACGAAATTGACTAAATTCGTGTTAATTAGTATATCGAGAAAATATTTTTCAATACTGAATTTAACTGTTGGTTCTATGTTGTTCAGATGTGATAAAAATGCATCGTTTTTGTTCCCCAAGACGACTACAAATTGAAAATCCGTACATCATGAATATGTGGCCAGAAAATTATTGGCTTAAATTTGCACTCTTTATCAATCTGTAATATAAGACGTTACGAAATTCTGTCGCTCTTAAAAGTCAAAAATGTTTGATGCGAAACATCGACCAAAAAGTGTAGACAAAAATGATGAATACTTTAAAAATATTGGTATATGTTAATAAGCGTTATTTTACATTTTTTTGAATATCAAATTGATTTGCTTTTATTATTATGACAAAGTTTTTGAGATTCTATGGTTTTGCCACATTAGAGAGTCACCAAAATTTAAACTTTCGATAATTTCAACGTTAAGTCTTATTTGTACTATAATTAAACTAAGTTAAGTGTTTTTAATAGTCTTACTAGTAAACACAATAGTTACAGACTTTTAAACGTTTGAAAAATTACAAACACATAAACTGCATTGAAAAAATATACATCTGTAAGCAAAATGGGGCGTTTAATTTAGCAAATTACGCAAAGTTACTGATGAAACATTATAAACTATTTTTAAGCAAATAAATATTTTGTTGCTCAATTATGTAACGAATATAAAATCGGGCTGAGTCTATCCCACAAAGGTGTTTTAGAAAGTCTAGCTCAATTTATATTTTTAGAAAATTATGGCAGCGTTGAATGCATGTGGGGACATAGAAAAAGCACGCAGTTTATATAATCAGCTAAGAAGTATATGGGCGACAAACTGAAGAAGAAAAATTAAACCTCTAAACACGGAATGCCGAATTAGCCGGACTGCTTTGAAATTTCGGCCGAAATATTTGTATATTTAAAAATACTGCCTCCGGAATGAGAAAAGTTGATTTTTGTGTATTTTGTGTTTGAAATTGAAAAATTTTAGCTAATTTTTAGCAAATAAATCAGTATGTTTTCTAATGTTTAATTAGTGTTTTTTTTTAAACAGGACCTGGCTATTCATAGTATTCTCTATCAGTTCCTTTAAGCGTATAACACATTTTTAAACAACTTTTTGACACAAACGTAAAAAAAATGGTTTGTAAACGGGAACTAAGTAACAATTGTTCAGTACATGGAAAAAAAAATTCCCATTGAGAGTAAAAGCGTTACTATATCAAAAAACCGTATCAATATTCGTCACAATAACGAAAAACTGTTTAAACCACCTTTTAAAACACCCCATTCCGTAAAAGTTGACGGAAGTCGGGTTTCAACCGCCACTACATGTTTCTTTTAAAAAGCCATCGACCGCCTCGGAAGAACCCGATGGTAAATGGTTTTCTTTTAGTAACTGTATAGGAATAGAGCAAAGCTACGCAGTGAACATACGACTTTCCATAAACGCTTCTACATGCTTGGCCAATTTTGATAGGAAGCCTGGCGTAACTTTCAAATAGCCACCTTAGTTCATGCTAGCGCGCTCGCCAAGCATTGCTATCAATCCACATAGCGCTCTGTGCGCTTTTTCAAAATTTCTACATCGTTTTTGTAGCTTTTCCCATTAAAGAATAGTTCGTCTTTTTTATCAGTGCAGTGCCCTTAAGTGATACAACATGACTAGGATTAATATGTTTAGCTTAATTGGATGCTTACTTTATTTACTACATTTCGGTAAGTTTTAATGAAAAAATATTATGCTTGCTGAAATATATTGAGTCAATTGAATCGAAGATAAGGGTTGATGAAAGTTTGATACTACAGGAAAATAAGTGGAATTTTAGAATGTATTTGCAGCCCCGAAGTTCAATAAATCCAGATTCTAAATTAGCGTTTTTCAACGGCACTGCATTAAACTCTTCCTATTATTTCTCAAAATTGAAGCAAAAACGCAATTAAAAACGTTGTTTTAATGAGTGAAGCGCAATCAGTGTGCCATCGCAACCGCTAACTGTTTTTCTTAAATCTTTTAGAAAATCTGCAATTGCCAGTACCTATTTAGTTCCGGCTAGTTAAACGAAATTATGCAGTTAAGTATTCAATTCAACCAACGTGGTTGCCATTTATTTAAGGAAAAAACACTTTTTTCGCAGTGTTTTGGTATGTGGCCAAAAATCAAACACCTTGAACTACTTTAGTGCACTTGCTATAAATACCGAATATTTCATAAAATGGTGATGACATTCTAATCCACTGTCTTTAAACAAATGCAAATTGAGAGATTTACTGATATGTAGCACCTTTCGGCTATTTAAAGTTTTGATTGTTAAACAACAAATGTATGTAAATAAGGGAGCAAATGTACATTTTTTTGGTTCGAACAAGACGAATAAATGCTAATCTTGTGGCACATAAATCAGCTTGTATGTTTAATATAATTTTATATAAAGTATGTAAAATTTCGTTTAGAATAACAAACATTTAATATAAACATTTCTCGCAGACCAATGAGGTAAAAATGGAAAAGAGAACATATGAACTAAATTAAATATTTAATTGTTCTGCTTAGAGAAATAGAGAAATCAAAACGAACAATATGATAGATTGAACAAATATAAACACCAATTTTTTAAGTGAATTTCATATTAAAGCATTTCGGAGATTTTTCAAATTTAGAAAACCCCAAATAATATCGAAAAGTTATTGTCAAATATAATCTGAAATTATTTCTGTACAGAAATATTGAAAAGAATCCAGAAGAAACTATTAGAATAGAATCGAACTATTTAAGAACAAAGTAACAATTTCAAGACTTTCGTACAACGCGTCCAGCAAACAGAATATGCCTGAAAAAGTTTGCAATCGGAAATGACAAAAGTAATTCTATAAATTTTATGGACTTGATAATAAATGATAACAACCTTGGGGAAATAAAAGCAAATTGGAACACAAAAGACTTTTGGCCAGGAAGGTGTCAACTTAAATTATAACTTATATTTGTATCACAAACATAAAAATCCTGTAGTGTCAGTAACGGAAAGAGTCATGTATTATATACATGATATGATTTGAAGTTGAACATCTTTGAATAAAAATTATAATTAAAAATCGAAATTATGAGAACAGAGGAAGCAAAATGTACGATTCAATTGAGAGCGTAATAAGTGGTAAAATATAGATTATTCTCATATATTCTGGAAATTATCTCAAAAACTGCCGAAATATTAAAAGCAGGTAAGTTATGATGGCCTTCACGAAGAATATTTGACTATTGAAAAGGTCATAAAATAAGTTGAGTTTAGAAAACGCCGCAGAAATAATTTTTAATATTTCTAGCCCTGAATATCGGTTTCTCGCATATGATTGATTTTGATAATGACAAAAATTACAGGAAATATTATAAAAGTAAATAACTAACCATTTTTGCCAGGACAGATAAATCTATATCCAGTGTACATGTGTTAAAAATCAATATTAATGCGTTTTTCACACTAAGAAAATCCAAAACGCTTGCACTTGTATAACATGTGGGACCATTGTAATTCATATTCTTGGCTATGATCCATACAAATAAAAATTTTGGCAGCTTTAGATGTTCAAAATCACTTGGTTATTGGCTTTCGGACTAGGATTCGCAATTTGGGAATGATTTGTCACAAAAAAGTACTTGCTTAACCGCAATAGAACTAAGCGTGTTCTGCATAGAAAGGGTTTTCGATTATTGAAAGTTTTGCGATGATGATGAAAATGAGGTACCATTCAACCTGATCGAATGTATCTTAAATTATTCATCAATGTTTTTGCTTACTGCGATATGGCCGAAAAACTTCTGAATGTTGTGGAATATGGTAAATCTTGCCGAGCGTGGCATCAGTTCAATGTTATAGTTTATTTTTAATTGAAATAAATATTTTTTTGGGCTTCCAACTAATTATAATAAAATTAATTTAGTAAATGAGTTTATTTTAGCAACCGTTTTCATCAGAAAATGTAATGTAAAGTACCTATATAATTTCACCTGAAATTATTGGCTGAAGATCAACCATCATAATATTGCAATAAATCCAGTCAAAAATTGCAAAATTTTAATAAAAGTTGATTGATTCGTATTTATCTCAGTTTCACTGTAACGGTGTAACTGACC